AGTCAAGCTATTCTCCAAAGCCCCTGAAGGCAGGACAAGAAGCAACGGATGGAAGCAAGAAGGCAGGACAAGAAGCAATCGAGGAGAGAAGCAACCTAGAACTAAGGAGAAACTTCCTGACAGTGAGAACAATTAACCAGTGGAACTACCTGCCTCCAGAAGCCGTGAATGCTCCAACACTGGAAGTTTTTAAGAAGAGACTGGACAGCCATTTGTCTGAAATGTTATAGGGTTTCCTGCCTGAGCAGGGGGTTGGACTAGATGACCTCCAAGGTCCCTTCCAACTTTATTATTATTATTATTATTATTATTATTATTATTATTATTATTATTATTATTATTATTATTATTGATCATCGCACAGTCAGCCAGATGTTCAGACTGGATTTGGCATATTATTATTATTATTATTATTATTATTATTATTATTATTATTATTATTATTATTATTATTATTATTATTATCTTTGCCATTCACATTTCGTTCAGTCCTCTCCGCTTGGCATCCTTTCGTTAATGGTTCTGTTCCGCTGTTTCTTTGGCATGAGTGCAAATTCTTGTCCGGCGGTGAGTTGTGCCACGGCCATTGTGAATTGTCGCAGACACACAACACACCCCTGGAGTGTCTTGCGAACGGCTTCCATAAACAGGAACCACATGGATTCGGCCAGGAACTGGGAAGGGAACAAGGAACTCTCAACCAGCAGAAGCTTGGCTCCAAAGCAGGGTGTGGTACAGCCCTCCGAGGGGAGACCCGGCTGCTGGCACTGCTGTGCGGAAGCCGCCTCACCCGGGTTGGGGAAACCGAGCTCTTCCCCCTCTCTCTGGGGTTTGTGTGTGCACAGGTGGCATGGCCGAAAAAGCTCTGCCTGGGCTTGGAATCTGCAGCAGCGGAAGAGCAAAAATCCTGGGGGATTGAAACAACGAGCAGGTGTCCGGAGAAGTCAGTGGCACAAAGTCAGAAGCTCTGATCTCCCACCGGGAGGAACTGAGTTACTCTAGCCCAGCAACACTGCAGGGAATAGAATTTAGAATAGAATAGAATAGAATAGAATAGAATAGAATAGAATAGAATAGAATAGAATAGAATAGAATATGGAATATGGAATATAAAATAGAATAGAATAGAATAGAATAGAATAGAATAGAATAGAATAGAATAGAATATGGAATAGAATAGAATAGAATAGAATAGAACAGAATAGAATAGAGCAGAGGAGAATAAGGAATAGAACAGAATAGAATAGAGCAGAGGATAATAAGGAATAGAATAGAATAGAATAGAATAGAATAGAATAGAATAGAATAGAATAGAATAGAATAGAATAGAATAGAATAGAATAGAGCAGAGGAGAATAAGGAATAGAATAGAATAGAATAGAATAGAATAGAATAGAATAGAATAGAATAGAGCAGAGCAGAGCAGAGCAGAGCAGAGCAGAGCAGAGGAGAATAAGGAATAGAACAGAATAGAATACAGCAGAGGAGAGGAGAATAAGGAATAGAATAGAGCAGAGCAGAGGAGAATAAGGAATAGAACAGAATAGAATAGAGCAGAGGAGAATAAGGAATAGAATAGAATAGAATAGAATAGAATAGAAGAGAAGAGAAGAGAAGAGAAGAGAATAACAGAGTTGGAAGGGACCTTAGAGGTCTTCTAGTCCAACCCCCTGCTCAGGCAGGAAACCCTATCCCATTTCAGACAAATGGTTGTCCAGTCTCTTCTTAAAAACTTCCAGTGTTCAAGAAGAGACTGGACAGCCATTTGTCTGAATTGGTCTAAGCTAAGGTCTCCTGCTTGAGCCAGGGGGTGGACTGGAAGACCTCCAAGGTCCCTTCCAACTCCAGGGCATCCCAGCAGCCTTTGGCACGCAAGTCAGTGCCCGCAGCCCCTCCCTGCCTCACACCCTGCCAGTTTTCCCACCCAACGATCGTGCTCAATCTTTGCAGCTGTCCGAAAAAAATGTCCTTGGGTTGGGTGGGGTAGGGTGGGGTGGGGCTTGTTCCCCACTCCAGCTGCCAACTGACTGGACAACAGTGGGGAAAAAAACAAACCAGGATGATTTATTTTGGGACGAGGCGGTCTTTGGCAAACCATTTTTTAAAGATTGCCTAACTTTCGTCCCACGGCCTATTTGCGGAGTGGCGCAGTTATGTTGCGGGGAAAAAAAAGGCTGTAAAAGACGAGAAATGAAAAGTTGCCTATTCAGGATGGCTGCCTCCATCCATCACCTCCTCCGCAAGATTACAGCTTTATTTATTTTTTTAAAAATTAGAATAAAAGAGTTGGGCGGGGCCTTGTAGGTCATCTAGTCCAACCCCCCCCCCCAAAGCAAGAGACCCTACACTATTTCTGACAGGTAATCCTCAACAAGGAGAGAAGCAACCTGGAACTAAGGAGAAACTTCCTGACAGTGAGAACAATTAACCAGTGGAACTACCTGCCTCCAGAAGCGGTGAATGCTCCAACACTGGAAGTTTTTAAGAAGAGACTGGACAGCCATTTGTCCGAAATGGTGTAGGGTTTCCTGCCTGAGCAGGGGGTTGGACTAGATGACCTCTAAGGTCCCTTCCAACTTTATTATTATTATTATTAACAACCTGCCTCCAGAAGCGGTGAATGCTCCAACACTGGAAGTTTTTAAGAAGAGACTGGACAGCCATTTGTCCGAAATGGTATAGGGTTTCCTGCCTGAGCAGGGGGTTGGACTAGATGACCTCCAAGGTCTCTTCCAACTATTATTATTATTATCATCATCATCATCATCATCATCATCATTGTTATTATTGTTCTTCTTCTTCTTCTTCTTCTTCTTCTTCTTCTTCTTCTTCTTCTTCTTCTTCTTCTTATTATTATTATTATTATTATTATTATTATTATTATTATTATTATTATTATTATTATTATTATATATCATGAAAAGAATAGGTGCAGGTTAGTCCTCGGCTTATGAGCACGGTTGAGCCCAAAACATTTTACGTTGCTAAGTGGAGAAATTTGCTAAGTGGGTTATGTCCCGTTCTACAATTTTTCTCGCCATTTTTGTTAAGCGAAACACCGCAGTTGATAAGCGAGTAACCCGGCCGTTCAGCAGATCTGCTTTGAAGTTGCTTGTCAGGAGGTCACCACAGGGGGTCACGTGACCCCGGGAGACACTGCGGCGGTCATAAATACGAGTCAGTTGCCCAGCGTCTGAATTTTGATCACGTGACCGCAAGGATGCTGCAAGGGCCGTGTGAAAAACGGCCGCCAGCCACTTTTTTCAACGCCGTTGTAACTTTGAGCGGTCACTAAATAAACAAGTTAAAATTCGAGGACTGCCTGGATTCCATCTCGCCTCTCTGTCTCCAGCACAGTTACATATTCAACTAATTGGTTTTAACAAAATTTTAATAGAGCGGCCAATTCAAATATTTATTTTTAATTATTTTAGATTTGTATTTGGTATTTATGTGGGATTGTTTTAAATTGGCTGTAAGCCGCCCTGAGTCCTCCGGGAGAAGGGCGGGGTATAAATGAAATAAATAAATAAATAAATAAATAAATAAATAAATTTAAGGTGTTTTTTTTCTCTCTCTCTCTTTTTTTTTTTTAAATTTCCCTACAAAACTGGGCATCGCCATAGCCGGCCAGCATCTCGACAACCTGAAAAAGTTGGTGCATTTTATTTCTCGGATTTCACCACGGGGGAGAGGGGACAACATGGCGGCACCTTAGAAGCTGGAATCACAGGACAGGGAGGGACCTCAGAGGTCTTCTAGTCCAACCCGTTGGTGAAGGCAGGAGCGCTGTTACACCATGCCCGGTCAAATGGCGGTCTATTTTTAAAAAACTCCCAGCAATGGAGCAGTCACAACTCCAGGAGGTGAGCTGTTCCCTCCTCCCCCGTCAGGAAATTCCTCTTCCTTGCCTTACAATTCCAACTATCTTCCCAAGAAAAAACATGGCTGTTTGATGTGAAATACCCCAGCGGGGTGAGGAATGCTAGCAAATGGGAGGGGGGTCCTGGGCCCACCTCCCCTCGGTTCATCTCACTGCTGGGAGCATAAATATTTCGGAGAGCAGGACTTTGGTGTGTATGTGTGTGTGTGTTACTGTGCACCCAGGTCCTAATTTTTTAAGCAAAGTAGCGATGGGGGACGGGGGGGGGCAGAGAAAAGCCATTATCCCTTGCCTGGGTTTGTGTGTGTGTGTGTGTGTGTGTGTGTGTGTGGTTGCTGGTTTCACTTTGCACAGGGATAAAGGCTGGGGGGGG